GTGCCTATAGTTTTATAACAATACGAAATGAAAACAATAATAACAAATTCTCGACATGCTCGATATTAATCATAATAAATTTCAATACTGGTGCGAAAGCAAATGATTTATAATTCAAGTAATAGTTGAGAATGTTTCGATTCAAAATATCTTAGTCAGTATATATATGACCTTTCAAATATTGAAAATACTCTTAAACGTTGGTATCGTTTACCATTTTTTGTCATTCCTCCTGAAATGAATTATACGCAAATATGATATTATTATGTTATGGAAATATGATATGAAATGAACTAATTGAGCTCAAGAATATTGATGTGTATGTAAACTCTCAATGAAGAGATTGTTACTTGGTTACAAGTGTTAACCGTTTCCGTACAGAATAATCACAGCGTCTCTCGTGGTCCTAGCCAAACCACATCCAGAGAAGTAGCTGTTTGGTTGATATTCTGAAAAGTACGAAGTGTTATAGTTGGAATTATGTACTATAACAGTAAATAGGAGGGAATCCTGGAAGATGTGCCACACTAAGGCATGAAGGATTAACCTTACTGAAGATATTTTGTCCTCGAATTGATAGGACATGAAATGATGATTTAATGTGAAATAATGAGCTCGTATATGATGATTATGTATATTTATGAATTATGAAGATGATTATAATGATATTTACCCCCGGGGATGATTTTTCCGAAAATGGAAAATATTTGCGAGCTGTTAGACAAAGAACTGTACGGTCTAGTTCTAACAAAATTGGAGGAATGAGCATGCGGTATTTAACAGGAGTATTTTCAATCAATTCAATAATGTTTGAGTGGTGAAACATCACAAAATATTCCTCATTTTCATTATCATGAACAAGGCAACAACTTGAATTCATCGAAACAACGTAAATAGGGAAATTATTTGTTTTTTTATTGAATAAACGCCAATTTATTCGTGTAACCGCTTACACCAAAGATAAATAAATAAATCGAATAAAGTTCTGATAATATTTCATATTGAACAAAAAATAATCACAAGGGCCCTTGAGTCAAAATATTGCTCAAAGTACATGAAAGTACCAATTCTCGGAAGTTTCATCAGTTTATTCAAGCTGCCAACAAAAGTTGTCAGATGAATATTCTTTTAAATCTTATATACGGATTGGACCTGGAATGTCAAAAATGATCAATATGTAAATATGAAATAACATGGTAACAATTTCGAGTATATATTTATCAGAAAGGTAATTTTTTATATTCGCAAAATTTTTCAACGAAAAGGCACGTTGGTTTTTTAACATGACATAAGTTAAGTTTTTACCATTATTTCAATTCATGCGCTTATTGATTTGAATAACTTTCAATTAAAAAACTGGCAATCCATTTTCATTTCGATTTAAAAGTAGATAGCTCACTAGCAAAATGATTTAAATCACTAAGTTACTAGGTGAATCGAATAGAAACCTATAAGAAATTCCTCAAAATTCTGCATATCTAAGAGATATACACGTAGGTATATAGGTAACTCATAGGTAATTTATTTTTCATTCATTCACTCAATCCATAGATGAAACACACATCATTTAATTTTAAAACACGAAACTATTTGCAATGTTTTTTTTTCTCAGATGAAAAGACGCATTTCAAATTTTCCTGAAATGAACAAGAACTTTTCACCAATTCTTATATTTTCTAATATTGCTTACTAGGTTACTATAGTAGTAATAAAATCATATAGCCGGCCATCTTCGAACTTGCTTATGTAAATAATCATGAACTTGACATTTGGTTCAAGTTGCAAGTTGATGATGTAACATTTATATACAAATAGGTTTAATAATGAATAACGCTCCAAATAACATATAGTAAAGGTAGATACATATATTATACTATGAAAATCGAACATAAATAATAAGTTTCAGAATATTATGGAGTTATTTATGATATTTTGGAAATAAAATTATTAGAGTAATCGGTTGCTCGAAGAACGTATGATGTGATTGTAGTACTTCTATTATGTAAATATATATTAAATAAATCGATGAAAATAAGGAAGGATTTTTGAAGTGGGATCCATATTTATTGAGTTTAAATAAAGTAGGTATATATATAATAGATCTCACAATAGGCTAATCACCTTCTGGTATCGGTCATTTGAACTATTCATTAAATAATAATAGTTATTGAAGGATTACCCATTTTTAATGTTGATAGTAACGTATGCATTTGACAATCAATTTTTCCTTGTATGTTTACATGAAACTCGCATGAAACAATGCACGCACACTGAGCACTGGCATACAACACTCAACAAGAAATCAGACACCCAGGGGGACGCAGCCATGCAGCCAAATGGCCAAACATGGACAAACCATCAAGGACTGTTTGACTGATTCGATGGTAGCTGCTGGGTAGCCCAGGAACGGAGAGGAAAAACGTAGGAATGCCAGGAGTTGCCACAAGTTGGGAATAGCCTGCCCAACCGCTCATTTGACGGGAATTCGTCGTTGCCTCCTATGGACAGTCAACTAGCTTCATTGAGACGACATTGAGACGAATGGACCAAGACGTTGTGCCGTCATCATGTCCAGGACGAGGATACCTTTTGAGCCCAAAAAGGATCCCGCCAAAATTCTCACGACGATTGAAGGATGTCCATCAGTCGTCAGTCGCTACCCCAAGCAGCCGGCAGTTCGTTTCGTTCAGCTGCCAACTACCTCGAATGACAGTCTAGGAAATCTTAAAGCCCAAAAGATTTCATCCCGATGCCCAGGACAAGGATACCTTCGACGATTGGAGGATGCCATGCCCAATCGTCATTCCCTACCCCCAAGCTGCCAGGAGTCTCACCGAGAAGAGTCTGATTGAGATGCTTTTGTTGAATAGCCAGTGCCGGACTTAGTAAAGGTGTGAGTGTGCATTGTAGACACTAAATTTTGAATGTTAGTGGATATTTTTTTCTGAAATTTTTTGTATATTATTATGTAAATGAATTTTGAATGTTCTCCTCGATATATTTAAGTTAGGTAGTAATTTCAAAACTGGGGTCCAGTTTTCTCGGAGAGAGGGGTCATGTCACGAGTAGAACATACAGTATATTAGTAATTTGTAACCATGAGGGTTTTATAAACATAAAATTATTCAAATCATCAATTGACATTGAACTATGAAATCTGACCAAGGAACTCTCATGAGAAACGTGCAAATCTAATAAAATGATGTATATAAATATTGGATATGAGGGTTCCGAAGTTAGTCTGGTCTGGGGCTACTCTTGACTTGACAAGAGCTCGTCGTATGGTCGTTATAATGTAAGTTGTTATTCGGTCTTTATAGTCATTGTTGTTTATTCATATTTATCATCACTTCACCCATAATGTTTCATGCTATAATATATATTGTTATGTTTGAATGTAGTCTCGTACTTTCAATTACCCCAAAACTATTAGTGCCTATTTGCCTATTTGAATATTACCTCTCGCAAACTATCAAGCCAAGCATTACCCCTTATAAATCGATATAGTATGGTGGAAACACAACTCTTTTGTTGTGACATGGTGGAAACAACTCTTATATCGTGACATGGTTATTAATTAATATTAATTCATGGTGGAAACAACCCTTTTAACCACTTTTGTTGTGACAATATTTTAGTCAAAAAATCGCTCGAAAGAACTCACTGAGTCTCACAGTTTTTATAACGGAGATGAAGGGTGAATTATCGGTTTTGAATAATCATTCACTCGTCCAGTAACATTTGCTCAAATTTGGTATGTAGCTTACTTGGGATGATGGATTCATTAACCTATCAGGCGAAATGGAAATAGTACCAAATAATTATAATTCGATAATTCACCCTGTATCTCTGTTATAAAGACTATGAGACTTTTCCTGAAGCTGAACCTGTATTTCCATTCTGGCTGGAAGGTCGATGAATCCATCGTTCCAAGTGAGCTCAATACCAAATTTGAGAAAATATTACTGCGATGGGTAGTTTAATACTTATGGACGAGTGAATAATCTTTCGAAACCGATAATTCACCCTGTATCTCCGTCATAAAGACTGTGAGACTTAGTAAGTTCTTTCGAAAGATCATTTAACAAGAATATATCAAATAATCTTAATTGAAAGTGGTTTCATAATTTCAATACTCTTCAAATTGACATACTTTTAGCTTTCTGTTTATGATTGTTACGATGAGAATTGGTGGCGGGAAAACAAAAAGCATCAAATCCAGTTCAGTTTTTCCTCCTTTTCACGATTCTTTTGATGAACTCTGTCAATTATCACATACAGTGTTTAATATTTCGAATAGATGTCAATTTTTCCTGAAGCCGAACCTGGATTTTCACTTCACCCGATAGGTGAATGGATTCAACGTCCCAAGTATAAGGTCCATACCAAATTTTAGAAATATATACTGGATAGTTCGATACATATAGATGAATGAATAATTATTCGAAATCGATAAATCGCCCTGTATCTCCGTTATGAAGACTCTGAGACCTATCAAATATGGTATTTTCAGAACCACCTTGGTGACTCCTATGTACCATTGAAATATTTCCCTTTACCTGTGAAACACCCTGTATATGGGTGGCCAGGTAGCCGTGCGGACAGAGTGTCTAGGTATATTCTAATTATATTTCACATTTTCGTCTCGAATTATAAAAATAACCACTTGTAGTCGTTCCTTTCGACTCTACTAGGTACGAAGTTCAGAGACAAATTTTCAACATCCACCCTGATACCTAACATTCCTGTGCCCAACCGATACCGCCTAGCAGCCGATAGTCATTGTTCTTTTCGTACCGCTAGGGTATGAACGTTTCAGAGACAAGTGTTGATTTAGAAGTGTTTTAGTTTTAGTAAAGTGATAAAAAGTGTACCTTATCATGGGCAAAAGTGGAAAATCAACGAAAAATTATAGAAAGATACCCAAATTGAGAAATAAAATTAGAGTGTCAAGAAATATTTAGTAAAGTTTATCGAGTAAGTACCTACACATTACTTAATTACATCATAGCTGGAAATTGAGGAATGGTGGACACACAAAGCATGATAGGAATGTTCAGTTTCAATTCGACAGCATTTGGATTTTCCTTTATAGACATCCGGCACACGCTGGATAGAATGAAAAATATACTATACAGGCACTCATACGAGGCGCCGCTACTATAGCAAATGTGCTATAGCCTTGTTTATCAGGCTGACTGCAGGGTTTGGTTTTTTCATTATGGACATTCGGCACACGCTGGATAAAATGAAAAATGTACTATACAGGCACTCATACGAGGCGCCGCTACGGTACTATGACCTTGTTTATCAACTGAATGCAGGGTTTGGTTTTTTTTTTGTTATAGACATTCGGCAAACGCTGGATATAGAATGAAAAGTATACTATACAGGCACTCATACGAGGCGCCGCTACTATAGCAAATGTGCTATAGCCTTGTTTATCAGCTGACTGCAGGGTTTGGTTTTTTCATTATGGACATTCGGCACACGCTGGATATAATGAAAAATGTACTATACAGGCACTCATACGAGTCGCCGCTATGGTACTATGACCTTATTGTTTATCAACTGCAGGGTTTGGTTTTTTTTTGTTATAGACATCCGGCATACGCTGGATAGAACGAAAAATATGTAAACTACAAGAGGCAATCATTTCTAATAATAATGATATGTAATAGAATTAACTCCAAAGTCTTTATTTTATTATTCGTATTTTCAATATTCAACGCTGTTCGACTTCAGACTGCTGACATTTCCTGACTAAGCATCTTTACCACATTCTAGCTACAATGGCGTAGCTATAAGGAGATATCGCTAACATATATACAATACAGGCACTCATATACGAGGAGCCGCAACTATAGACTTGCCCAAGACTGGCCTGAGAAGAGCTAAATATGTGCACAGCTGATTAATGAACCGTTTCTTGTGGGTGTCTTGTTTCTGTTAATGTCACTACGTGGCAGGTTTCTCTTGTCATTGTTGACAGGTAAAAAAATAGTTATTTTTGTATCTAGAGCGCGAAATGCTACTTTGGTGATCGAGATCTGATTTTTTTACGAGGCGTAGCCGAGTTAAAAAAATAGTCGAGATGACCAAAGTATTTCGCGCTCGAGTTGCATATAAATTTTTTTCTACAAACGTCAAAAAATATAGTTCTTAAGTAAAAATATGCTTAGCTTGATGAAGAAAATAGTGTTGAACTGGCTTAAAAAGCCTACCACTATCCTTCCTCGGTACGCACGATGGTCCACGAGCATAATAGGGATTTTCTTTCGTGCGATCCAAGAGATAAAACAAAGCTATTGGTGAATATTCAGAAATGAATGATTTCGTGAATGTTTGCTCGATTGGGGACCACAAAGTTGAAATATAAATATCTCATATATTTTACATAACAGTGCGCGAAGTAGGTACTTCGCGCACTGTTTTACTTCGCGCATTGTTATGTGCAAGGTATCATGGTAACGTAGGAAACTGAAAAAAAGTGTCACTTCGCAATTTGTTATCAATGCGCGAACCTTGTCATTTTTTGACGTTTGTAGAAAAAAATAATTTTTCTCATCGGTATATACAAGGTGTTTCTAAAATAGGTGGTCAAACTTTGGGAGCATATAGAGTGGGTGAAATAGTTACGAAAACCTCCGTAACATTTTTTTCTGAAGTGACCCCCAAGAAAGATACAGCCCCTCAAAGGGGGGCCTCAGTGAATGATTTTGAATTAGTATCTCCAACACCTTGTGTAATGAAAATCTGAAATTTTGTCCATCCACTTACTATTCAGTGCCGGTTCGAATGAAGTTAAAATCACCTCAAAATTAAATACAGGGGTGTGTCAAAATAAGGAGGTAGGGGGTAAAAATAACCCCAACTTTTTTGTTCATCACAATTTCAGTTTTTTTACATGAAATTATGAAATCTCAGGGCAATTAACATAGAAAAGGAGCTCTTGTTGAATCTCGATAAAATGAACCATTAGCGAATAAAATTTATTATTCCAAGATTTCATTTAAATTGCAATTTTGGTGTGCGCTCAAGTTTAATTATCTAGTTCAAATCTTGCAACTGAATTTTTACCTACTTCTAATCGTCTGGTCAACTTGGAATCTGGCAGATGACAGTTGATAACGCGTTATGGACTTTTTGATAGAAAAAAATATGGCGGCTCCAACGTGGCTGACCAGATTAGTGATTATGGTCCGATCCGATTCAAAATTGGTTTGTAAGGGTTTTTGGGGTTGGAAATTTTGAATTCGTTGTCGGAATTCATGAATTAAAAATAGACGACGATTTTCGTGATTATGGATGATCCTATTGAAAATAAAATAAAAAATATTGTAAAAAACAAGCTTTTATTAATTCAACTATTGAAATACAAAATCGAAGATGAAATAAGGTGAATGCTCTAAAAATGAGAAAAAAATGCTTCTAGATATCTTCTTCCACTTCCTGGAGCATTTGAATGGAAGCATTATTATCACTGATTTTTTTTCTACCTTATTTTATTACATTTTCATACAACATAACTCCAACGAAATGGAACGTAGAATTTAACACTGAGTTAGAGAGCATAGCAGGAATGTAAGAGAGGGATGATGAAGTTTTCGATTAGTAAGATTCTGGAGAGGGGCAAGTTGTATCACGATGAAATAGTGAGAGATCCGCAACATTTCTTCAATTGCAATTTAAATGAAATCTTGGAAAAATAAATTTTATTCGCTAATGGTTCATTTTATCGAGATTCAACAAGAGCTCCTTTTCTATGTTAATAGCCCTGAGATTTCATAATTTCATGTAAAAAAACTGAAATTGTGATGAACAAAAAAGTTGGGGTTATTTTTACCCCCTACCTCCTTATTTTGACACACCCCTGTATTTAATTTTGAGGTGATTTTAACTTCTTCGAACCGGCACTGAATAATAAGTGGATGGACAAAATTTCAGATTTTCATTACACAAGGTGTTGGAGATACTAATTCAAAATCATTCACTGAGGCCCCCCTTTGAGGGGCTGTATCTTTCTTGGGGGTCACTTCAGAAAAAAATGTTACGGAGGTTTTCGTAACTATTTCACCCACTCTATATGCTCCCAAAGTTTGACCACCTATTTTAGAAACACCTTGTATATATATATATATATACCTGATTGAGTCAAACTTAAAAAAGGGGGGGGAGAGGGGATCCTCACTCCTCCGTTCATCCGAGCCTCACATTCACAATATATGAGGTATATATACTGTAGACAGAGCTTAATTACTTTTTGTCTCTTTTTTCTACACTAGACTCCACGACCAGTGGCAGTAGCTGGAGCAACTCACACTCGCATCATATATAATTGTTTCGAAAGTGAGGATCGACCAGTCGAGCTTCCTGATGAGGATCCCCAGCAAGATTCAGATAGAGAATTAACATAACTCATCCTCCTGAAGAGTTATTTCTCTGGGAAAAAAGACTTCTTTTTGGACCGGAGATCCACGAAGAAATTGCAGGGGGTGGAAAGGTTTCCCTCACTGAAGGAATCGACAAGAGTCCAGAGCTGAAATGGTTACCAAGTATCCTCCGATGAAAGATTGTTAGGTAATGATTCCGCGAGGCTCAACCCTGATCAAATACCATCCGTTCTTCCAGAAAAGTCTGTTGAATGAGTTCCTCATCAATTCACAGTAATAGCTAGTAATGGGTCTTTCTGCAGTAGCTAGACCCAATTATAAATTGTATTCGCAGCCAACACAAACGAATCCAATGAAATTTTGAGAAACTAAACTTCTGGCTGATGATGCCTCCCACTCCATATCGTTACATAGGAGGTATTTGATCATTCCTCATCTCAACTTCACCACCAAAAATTATGCGTGGAGGGGCCTATTGACGAACTACTGTTCGGGGCGTACGCCTACATGAGTAAAATACAATCGAGATATGAAGAATATAGGAGCGCATCTGCTCAAGAAGCCGTTATTTCCTCTTACTTCAATAACCGCCAACATCTTAGGCTTTAAACGAAACAGAGGAACAATTTCGACAGAGGTGAGCAGCAGTACAGGATCCATTACTGTACAAATCAGAAATTGTAAAGCTTCAACCAATTATCCTCCCATTTTGAGTTAGGTGCAGGGTTATCGAACGAATTTTGCCAAGAAACCTTACCAACAGTCTTGGCTAATAACTTCCATACAGGAAAGAAATTTGGCTGAGATGAGAAAGGCTATAAATAAGATGCGGAGCATAGATACAGTTTCAATAATTGGCCTTAGGGGAGAATCTTTTCTCTCCACATATTTCCTCGCCAAGAAATCAAATATAACTCACTGGTTTATACTAGACCGGAAAAACCTTAATACAATTATATACTTTACGAAGCTTCTACATAATAATTGTTATCTCACGAAAGTAGACTTGAAAGATGCTTAATATTCTGTACCTTCAGAGAGATAGATCGAAAATATCTGTTCAAGATTTGAAAACAAAAATTATCAATGGGCCTCTTTGGCCTCTTTACTTTGACATTCTATAAATCTATCGCCCTATAACACCACATGTGTTTACTGATGAGTCGATGAATCCTGCCTTGAAAAAATTTAAAAAAGTTGCTACCTGTCACATGTATAATTTATCTAGATGACATACTAGTAATAGTAGTGATTGCAAGGGAGAGTATACATGGAGTGTCAGAAAAATTCTAGGACAGTTATAAGATTGTTAGTGGTTTGGGATCAAAATTAATTTTAACTAATGTGTACCATCTCACTCCTTGCCTGAGGTGTACTTTTCTTGGATTTTCATTCGATACTACTGACATGAAAATATCACTACCTGGAGAAAGAATTGACAAAATTAGAAATTTCACACAGAAAATGAAAATTAACAAAACTTGTGAAATCAGGGAATTTGCAAATTATATTGGAATACCTGTTTCAATAATTCTAATGGTGATTATAGTCAACAAAATGTTCGAGAAAAAAAAATTTCTTATCCATAATTCCGTTGCCTCTTTACGACCAACCCTCAAAAGTCTTCAAAAGACTTGGACGAGCAAGGAAGGACGGGGGTCTTACCTTTTGACGTGTGATCCCAAACACTCTCTTAGGACATCAGAAATTTTTTTG